CTCTACAGATAGCGGCCACAGTATGAAGCTGTTACCGGGCAACCAGACTGATGCTGCCTGTAGACGGAGTGTCAAAAGAACCTTACAAAGGAGCACGCACAATAAGCACATACTGTTTCAAACTGCTGGAGAAGTTGTGGTGCCTGTCGTATTTGACTTCCATCATATGTTCTCTTCAGCAGCTTGCCTTTTAAAATGTATACCTCAGGGTTAGCGGGGCCTTTTTTTCTTTACTCTGTTTGACAATTATTGATGGAATGTATAAAAACCAATTATGTAACGATGACGATGTATGCACCTTCTTTTTATTTTTTTACTACTAAAATCATTCTTTTTTTTTTGTATAACTAGGTTCTGATTGATGAATTGCCATGCTCGTATTATCAGACACAGATCATAAACAAGAAATGACAAAGATATGTTCAGGTTATAGATGCCATCTTTACACATGGCATTATAATGTGCTTTAGGTAATCAGACTGCATTGGAAAGTGCTTGACCACATTACAGTACAGGAAAATGTATCATGTAGGTGTTGTGGAAGGATTGTGATCCAGAGGTAGTCGGAGTGTCACTACATTGAACACAAGCGTCTTCAGTCCATATACAACCACTGAGCTCTGAACATCCAGTTGTTCTCATTTTGCACCTGCAATATGAAACAACATGAACAATCCAAAGATGTATCCTTAGTGCAAATTAAATTGTTTTAATTTCATCCTAATTCACTTTCAGCTTTCATGTTTTTGTTGTTTCATTCAACTTAAACTTGATCTGCTTTAGTTATAATTAATATTTCTTAACCCTCCGGTATCACTGGACGTTTTTGTCCATATGGGTCATTTTTCACTTTTCATTTTGCAATAACTTTGGTTGTGTTGGTGCAAATGGCCTGATTTTTTGTAACAAGGCTATTTTCTCGATCTATTTTGGAATTCAAATTTCAATTTTTGAAATCGGTCTTTAATTCACAGTTTAACAATTCGACTACGCAAATTAGTCATTCGAGACAAAAATGTCCACTGCAAAAGACTTTGATAAAAACATTATATTAAAAGGTTTTTTTCACAACTTCTTTGGGTTCAATCTTTAAAGCAACTTCCGCCCTAATAGAAAATATCAAAAATGTAATCATTTTCAGGATTTTAACCCTTTAAATGCCATTTTGAATACATGAAACCGCTGTTTTTTTTCATGATGAAAACAGAGAAAATGAGTTATTTTCCCAAAAATACATATCTGGGGACTGGCTCTTTTTTTTTATAGCAGTCTTGGATATGTCAAAGATTAGCAACAAAATTGATTTTTTTGCATTATTAGTTTTTGCACAAAATCAGATTGAACAAAAAAAGTTACACATTAGTCATTCGGGACAAAAATGTCCACTTCCAAAAACTGCTCTAAAATGACAACAGATTAATATTTTTTAAAACTTTTTGGGGTTAAATCTTTCAATCAACTTCAGTCCTGATCAAAAACACCAAATGTTAAATTATGTTGGATTATGTAGGATTTTAACCCTTGAACTGCCAGTTTGAAAACATGAATTTGCGTTTTCTATGAAAAACATGCACAAAAAGGCAGTTATTTTCAATATAATAAATGTTGGGGGGGGTCGGCTTTTTTTTTATCACAGTCTTGGATATGTCAAAGATTAGCAATAACATTGATTTTGGTTGATTATTAGTTTTTGCACAAAATCAGATTAAACACAAAAGTTACAAATTAGTCATTCGGGACAAAAATGTCCACTTCCAAAAACAGGATTTTAACCCTTTAACTGCCAGTTTGAAAACATGAATTTGCATTTTCTATGAAAAACATGCGCAAAAAGGCAGTTGTTAGAGCCATTTTCTGTGTTGACAATGAGTGTATTATTTTCTTATTAATTTAGATCTTAATATATTCTTTCCATTTATGTATTAGTACCGAATTAAATATTCGGAGAAAATACCTTGATTAACTGCGAGCCACACCTGTGATATAAGGAAGGGGTGGGACTGAGCGTGAGGAGGAAATTGTCTCCAGCAATGAACGGGGAATCGGAACAGTCTTTGAACTCACGTTACACTGATCATTTTGTCTGTTTAAATATATGGAAGTAAATCAATCGGCCGAGGAAGGCAAAGAAATCAGCGCCTACAGAGCTTTATTTGGATGGTTTTTAACGTGTGAGTCAAGAAGCGGATCCCTGTTGACGTGGCACAGTTTTTAGATATCCCACAAGAATGGGCCACGACAGCAGTTATTTTCCATATAATAAATGTTGGGGGGGTCGGGTTTTTGTTTTTTTTAACACAGTCTTGGATATGTCAAAGATTAGCAACAACATTGATTTCGGTGGATTATTAGTTTTTGCACAGAATCAGATTAAACAAAAAACTCACACATTGTGTATGTATCGCTGTGTATGTCTGTTTGACATTATCAAAGGACTTTGAAGTTCAAACAATTCAAAACATCGAGGTCAAGATCATACATCTGTTTACCTCAAAGACACATGAAACAGCACAAATGAAAAACAAAACTTCATGAGAGCACACTTACTCCTGTCTCATTCTCACACACAATCACTCACACACACACAAGGTATATGGAGGTTTAATATGTAAGAGTGTGTATGAGTTTGGGAATGAGGGAGTGAGAGAAAAAGAGAGAGAGAGAAAGAAAGATATGAGGCGAAAACTGCAACTTGCTGTAATCCAAATTGTGAGAGAATATTTTAATCCGATCTGTGTATTTAGAGGTTCTCAGTCTTTCTGTAAAACTGTTAATCACAAAGTAATGCTTTTCGTTAAACCGCATATATTCCTGCCTGTAATGTGATCCTGCGTGTAACTTCTCAGGAAGACACAGGTCAAGAGGTCATCTGTCTTCCTGTGGGGGAGAAGCTTGGCTCATGTGGGTTTGCAATACAACAAGTCTTTGTCTCTCTATCTGGCTTGCATTAAAGGAAAGCCTGCGTGTTTTAAGGCCCTCCTCTTCTCATGTATAGATGTGTTCCTGTCTCCTTTGTCTTCAGAGTTTGCCTGGTGTCTCATAAAGAAGTTGTGCATATACCTAGTGAATTCTCCGGCCGTAATATACTTTCAATAAATGTCAATGTTTGACTAAGGCGAATCCAGCTTCCATTCCTTTCACGAGCATTGGCTCAGCATTGATAACAGAAGTTTTCCTCACAAATCTACTGTATATTGTTGTCTCTGTACACACACACACACACACACACACACACACACACACACACACACACACACACACACACACACACACACACACACACACACACACACACACACACACACACACTTCTCAGCTGATACCACTCTTCCTCATCCATACCAACACACCTACATCATATTAGTTGCATACATGTATTCCAATGGCTCTCATGCCCCTATTATACAACAGGCAAAGAAACCAAGAAATGACAAGCATGTAATTCAATGGTAAAATGTCACATCTGGTCATATACAGTAAAAAGGACAAATTGAACTATTTTCCTCCAATATAAAACCCTGACATTACAAAATGCATGATTTTATACCGGTATGGCGGAGAGATCAAAATATGTGGTTATAATGGGAGTGGCTAATGTGTGACTTTTTTGTTTAATCTGATTCTGTGCAAAAACTATTAATCTATCAAAATAAATGTTGTTGCTAATCTTTGACATATCCAAGACTGTGTTAAAAAAAAAAAAAGCCGACCCCCCCAACATTTATTATATGGAAAATAACTGCCTTTTTGTGCATGTTTTTCATAGAAAATGCAAATTCATGTTTTCAAACTGGCAGTTCAAGGGTTAAAATCCTGAACATAATTTAACATTTGGTATTTTTGATCAGGACTGAAGTTGATTGAAAGATTTAACCCCAAAAAGTTTTTAAAAATATGAATCTGTTGTCATTTTAGAGCAGTTTTTGGAAGTGGACATTTTTGTCCCGAATGACTAATGTGTAACTTTTTTGTTCAATCTGATTTTGTGCAAAAACTAATAATGCAAAAAAAAATCCATTTTGTTGCTAATCTTTGACATATCCAAGACTTTGATAAAAAAAAAAGAGACAGTCCCCAGATATGTATTTTTGGGAAAATAACTAATTTTCTCTGTTTTCATCATGAAAAAAAACAGCGGTTTCATGTATTCAAAATGGCATTTAAAGGGTTAAAATCCTTTTAATATAATGTTTTTATCAAAGTCTTTTGCCGTAGACATTTTTGTCTCGAATGACTAATTTGCGTAGTCCAATCGAATGATACCGGAGGGTTAAAGGGGCGTTATTATGCTTTTTGGGGTTTCTGCTTTCCTGTAGTGTGTTTTGTAGGTGCTGCAGCACAGGCAGTATGAGACATATAAAGAGCTTTTTGAACATTAAAGCATGGAAACATGTCACAGTAGAGGCACACAATATGATCCCGAAAATGTTAATAATAGGGCTCCTTTAGGGGTGTTTCTTGGTGCCTGGGATTATTTGTTTATTATTATTTTTTACTTGGATGTGTTGTAAATGAGGTCTCTACCTGAAAATGTTTTGAGTTTGAATTCAAGTTGAACGAATTGATAAACATTTATATATCCATACAACATCAATACCAAGGATCTGTGCAGCAGATCTGTATGTAGACTTATCAAATGGTGCATCAGTAAGCTTCGCTTTCCCCATCACTACAAATGATGCACACAGCACAAATTGTGAAAAAAACATCATATATCATCATATCAAATATTTTAAGTGATACTTCTGCTTCTGCACCCCGGCTACAGCCAGCAGAGCCGTGTGAAATGTGTGGGAACCATACGTGGGAACCAACCTTCGCTTTAGGATTAAGTCGGACATTTCTTCAGTAACTCAGTGTTTGACCTTCTACCGGAAGTGCTTCCTGTCTGAAATCCATGGTTGCGAACATGTCTTTAATTAAGTTTTGTACACTGCCCAGGCTTCTAGCACGGTAAGAATACTTTTTGAACATGGAGGTCATAACTATATTTTTGCTCCATGTCGGTAAAGATGTTCTGCCGCTAACAATGCTAATATCGAAGCTAACAGACGTGTCCCTTCAGCCTGTGTTAGGTACAGCAGACTTGTAACAGTGACTGTATTGAAATGCATGTATATAGTCTCTCGTTAAAAAGCGCTTAAAGCAACAGTCGATAAGCAAATATTTCAAAGCTATAATACACTAAATGGCTGGGGACATCTAGCTAAGGTCTCTTTACTCAGAAATGCAATTACTTTGTACTATTGTATTTGTCTTCCCTTGTCATGTGTTGGTGTTTATTATAGCTAGCCTATTTTAGACCATTGACCATTGTTAAACTGAATCAATGAAAGACCATTAAGTGACAAGATTTGAGTTTTCCATTAGATTCTTTATTAGGCTATTGGTTTTTATAGCTTGTAATGTCTTTGTATAAAACATGAACTCTCTCCAATTCTGAAGTCTTAGTAATGAATATTCTAAATACTTTCTGTTTAGTGTCTGATCCCCTTTTCTAAAGCTTTGGATATGTATTCAAGGTCTCCCATATCACATATCTTCAATATGTCTTATGATCGTACTACATATTTCAACTGTTTGTTTATGAATGATGAATTGAAACAGGAAAAACATTGGCACCATTTATCTTGACCTGCTAAATGATGGTATATGCAAGTGGCTAATAAAAACAATGGAAATCTATCAAAGGGCTGGTCATATTTTAACATTTACGAGCTATTTGACCAGCATGCAGATAAGATTACATTTTGCATCATGACACTAAGGTCTCATTTGGTGTGTGTGTGTGTGCAGGTGTGTGTGCCCTGTGTTCCCGCGCCTCGGCCAGGCCTCTCTGCTCCACACTCAACTGTGTGTGTGTGTGTGTGTCAGGTCTTCTTCCTGCAGTTTCCCACTGCTCTGCTGTGCGGTGAGATCAGGAAGGCCTACGTTGAGTTCTGTAACGTCAGCGGTGTCGCTCTATCCGGCCTTCGAGTGGCGTCCACACACCCTGATTTCTTCACCTTTGGCAGCCAGACCACGACCCCCCTCACACCTGTCAGCCCCACCTCAGCTGAAAACTGCTCCGCCTATAAAACGCTGGCCACGCCCCGGCAGCCTGGCTCCGTGGCGACTGAGGTGCTGGTCTCAGCGGGGGATTTCAGCCAGCCGTCTGGTGTGATGGACATCCCGATAGAGGGCAGCACGCTGCAGCCGGGGGAGTCCACCCAGCTGCCTCTTTGGCTCCGAGGACCAGACCAGGAGGGGGTGCACGAAATCAACTTCCTCTTCTACTACGAGAGCACAGAGAAGGGAAACAAAATCAGGTAAGACTTGAAATAAATGGAAGGGAGGGGAATTGCTATTAAGATCATTTCTAGGTACTGACCATGAACATGAGAAGCCTTTTTCTCAAAGGAACAACTTCATCAACGTGAAGCCCATGAGTGGCCAGCTTCAGCTGTAGCATCTTCCAGGTTGAGGGCGCGATCATTAACATTGCATTACAAGGACTTCACTGAATCAGAAGCTCCTCCTCCACTCATCCTGCCCGCTGCAGAGCTTTCCCAACTCATCAAAACCAACCTGCACTACCCCGAGACATACACACACCCCTTTGTCCAGGAGAGGTGAGACACACATGCAAACACATGCATGCCTGGAAGCTGAATCAAATCCTAGATTAATTCATATACAGCTCTGGAAAAAATCCTACTCACTTGCTTGGAATAAAGCCTAAGCTGTCTCTAATGTATCGAAGGTCTGTTAGAATGTTGTGAGTGAAGCTTCTTCTCTCTGTGTGCAGCCTCTGTGTGGTCCCCGTCACTCTCACCCTGTCCAACTGCTCCCTGGCCCGGGTGGAGGTCATCATCGACCTACGGCACAAAAGCGCCAGGTAAGGAGTGGGCCGTGTTTATCAGAATCAGAATGAGAAATTCTTTATACGTCCCACAGTGAAATATAGTATTATTAAAATAAATAATGATAATATCTTTTTTTTAATCCAATATTTTTTTGTCAAACTATTGATTTCTTTACTAAGACGCTGGAATAATGTAAAGCAGACCCAATTGATGTCGGGTCTGTCATTTTTCAATAATGGCGGCTCACTGTTTCATTATCCCTCACAAAGTCTAGTTCAAATTGAACATGTTTTCTAAGTTGTCATTATTTCCATTATTCTCCAGCCCCGAGTCAGTGGAGGTGCACAGCTCGTTCACCTGGGTGGGTCAGACCCAGCACCACCTGCAGCTGAGGCCCCAGGAGGTTCTATGCCTCACCCTGCAGGCCTGCTTCCTGCAGCCCGGGGTCTACAACCTCAACACGCCGCGAGTCTTCGCCAAGCTGACGGACCAGGGCGCCATGTGTGAGACGAGTCAGCAGACAGCCAGTCCTGCCCTCATCATCATCAACAGCGCCTGAGAGCAGCAAGCCCACCGGACTCCTCCAACACACCAACCACTCTTCTTCTTTGATTCTGGGCAGCAGGAAGCATTAATGTTTGTACCAATTACTAAAACAAGAGAATGTGTATTCATACCAAACAGGTTATAGAGCTCTCTGGACTCTTTCCCTTGCATGTAACTGTGTGTGTGCGGATCTCATCCACACACACAGCTCCACCCTCCGTGCTCTACTGGCTCCACACTCTGTGGACTAATGCAACAAACCTACTGCACTCTGGAGAAGCCATGTGTAAGTGTGCAGGGTGAACTGAGCTGTAGAGTAAAGGCGGTTACATAGTGTGACATTGTGACAGGAGTGTGACATCCTGACTATTGACCCCCCCCACCCATTCTGTACTACCATGAGCACGCAGTGGATTTTCTACAGTGTGTTCCACCTCTCCATATTGTGATCGAGCTCTTATATGCATTGACTTGACAGCTTTTTTTGAAAATGATGTATTATATTTATATAACAAATTGGTTGTAAATAGAAAATAAAAATGTAACTAATGATCTGTGACAGACTGTATAGAGTCAGGGTACATTGTGGTGATATTATGTACAAATATAATTATTGTGCTCGGTCACAAACAGGGCCTCAGCTCCGCCGTGGTCGTCTGCTATGAGAAGAAGCCTTCATTACACAATGAAACGCTCACACACTGAGCTCATGGGAATATTTTTGGCACATATAAATGTACTGTTAATACTTTTAGGCCAACAAAATAAATAAATGAGAACTTCCGTACTTCTCCAGCAGAATTTGCGCCAGACATTTAGACTTACGTTGGGAAATAAAATGTTAGTTGCCGTATCATTAAGGTAAGTAATAATAATATATACATGCAAAGCCTTCTGTGGTTATCTGAAGGAGGCTAATAAAATCAAACGATTTTAGAAGAGGCATTTAAGATTGACATTATCAGGTAAATGTTGACGATGGGACAAATACAAAACATTTGTATAACTCTTGCAGTCAGTAATAGCTGCATATACATTTCCACAACACAAGGTAGATTCTGAAATGTAAGAAAAAAGGAGAGCGTGGAATTGTAAGTAGAGCTACTATCCTGTTTTTGTATTTTGACAGATGGATTGAGCATTGTAGTGAATGTAACATTAAGGTAATGGAGTATAACAGTGAGAAATTATAAAGGTTAATGTTGAAAATAAGTTGTTACATTTTTCTAGATTGAGAATATTTAACACCCTAACGAACACAATGTCAGGTAAATGTGAGACTTGAAATATAAAGGACACTTATGATAGTCTATAAAGAGCAGAGGTGGAAGAAGTACTCAGATCCTTTTCTTAAGTAAAAGTAGAAACACTATGGTCCTAAAATACTCCATTGTAGGTAAAGGTCCATCATTCAAATTTGTAAAAGTATGAAAGTATTACCATCAAAGTAAAAGTACTCATTCTGCACAATGGTCCATTTCAGAATAATATAAATTACAGCAGCTTAATGTAGCCTACGTAAAGGATCAAAAATATTCTCAGCTCTATAATACTCAAGTAAAGAACAATAATGTCAGTGAGTAAATGTACTGAGTTACATTCCCACACTGCTAAAGAGGGACAAATGTAGGAGGGAGGAGAGGAGAGCATCACAAATAAATGAATCCGAATATTTTCCAGAAAAAATCTTTATGAGTTCATGATTTAGATGTTTTATATATTTATATTTTGCACAGAGTGCTGCAGATACACTCCTGTACTATAGGTGGCGAAATGCACCTTCAACTTGGTTTGCAGTCGGTCATTAAACCAAAGAAGACGAAGAAGAGGCATAAGAAAACAAACAGATGTGTCTTGTGACCAGCTTTTGAGGAAGCAGTCAACTCAGCTGGGGTAAGTTTATTTTTTTACGTTAACTTATGTTAGATAAAGTAAAAAGTATGCTCCTTTTCCTGTAATGTGTACTTTGAAGTTCCCACAAGACACAAAGGCGTTTGAGTTTCAGTTCAGGTGTTTTCAGGCATTGGAGATGCTCTGTCAGGAGTCTTCCTTTAAAGATGATAACATGTTCCTCTTCTACTGGAGCTCCTGGTTACTGAGCTGCAGCCTCGATACTTAAAGTGTAGCCTTTAGTCCACAAGGGGCACCTCTTTTAAGGATTGTAATCATTGTAATGATTTTACATTGGGAAAGGTATATTTCGAGGTAATACAATGGAGTGTTGGGGATGCTAACGTTACTCTCAAAGCTTTACAAGCTAACAGTGACTGGAACAAGTTTGACTAGTAAGTAGCCTACTAATAGAAGAATGTCAAACTGCTTTGTAAAAAAATGTATCAAATTTAGTATGTAGCCTACAAGTGATACGAAATGTTGCCAACTCCTAATACAAATCAATTATAATTCACATGTCATTAAAATGTCGTGTCTCCTCTGCTCGCACCGTTTACAGCTCATTAAAATAGAGAAGCAAAGGTCGAAAATGTTTGTATTTCAGTAGTTTGTTCTCAAACAATAGCACAGAAAACCACTTCTTCAATGACATTGCAAGTATGAATGTAGTTGAACTACAAGAAAGCTACAAAGTAACATTAAGTTCACCTGGGACTGGGCAACATATTGATGTTAAATAGATAACGTGATATAGGTTTAAACATTCTGTTAGATTCTGAAATCTGTATCTTTCTTGGTTTTAAAGGCTACATTACAGTTAAGGGATGTCATTCAACATTTTATATTATTGGTCTAACCCACTCAGTCGTTTTATCCACTGACTTTACTAATGATTATTTATCAAAAATCTCATTGTGTATTTTTTATGAAAGTATCAATATCAACAATTCTGCTGCATTACTGGTATTGAGGTCTTAATTAAAACATTTCGAGATATTTCATATAGCCTACTCTTATCGAAATTGCAATATCCAAATTGCAGTTATCTCAATATTTAGTGAAAGGCAAAATATGTGAAAATATCTGAATCAAGCATCTTGGTCCCACAGAGAAGTCTCTACAAACGGTATTCTACATACTTCAATACAAAATGTCCGCCACAGATCCTCTTAAAAATCCCACCATGATTATATTAATATATTTTCAATGGTAATGTTTAAAAAATGGTAATTCCCTCTTATATTGCGAATCATATCGCAATTGCAAAATAAGTCAATATAATCGCGATGAGTAATTGTTTCTAAATCATGCAGCCATAGTAAATATGTATGTGATTTGAAAGGGCTGACAGCAGCAGAAGCTATTCTCTGAAGGACACCTGCTGAACATTGAACCCAAATAAATAGAAAATGGCCTTGTGACCATCATAAAGTGTCTGAATTCACTGTTTTCTGTTATTTTGCCTGTGTGTCTCATGTCCTGCAGGCTGGCAGCAGGATGTTCTCTGTGAGCTCAGCACAGAGACGGCTCCCCGCTCAGCTGCTGCTGCTGCTGTGGACACTCACACACTTCTCTGGTGACTAACAGCTGTTTCTGTTCACTGCTCTCACACACACTCACTGCCTGTTAAATGTTTATACACACACTGTTTGGATGAAAACCTGTTCCATCATCCTTGAAGCATGTAGTTACCTCGTGAAGATTATGATAATGGTAACATTTGAAATACTATTATAGTTAGTTCGGTTTCAAGTCGAATACACACAGAGATAATAAAGAAACAATAAGCCATTACTTTTGAATTATTATCAAACCAAAGTTAACGTATCATAGTGGAAACATTTAGTTTATTAACCTTTTTATTTACAATTGTCACAATTCATAAAATGAAAACAGTCAAATGTATGTATATCAAATATATTTAAAGCTTATTTGACATTATGTTCATACCTCACTTTATATTTGCTAATCATCATTTTTTTAATCTATTCAGTATATCACACATTTTATTTTCCTTTTTCAAACTACTCAAGATTGAACAGCTGTAATTCTGTATTCTCACTACCACATTACAGTGGGTCAGCCTTCAGATGTTATACTTCACACATTCTGCTTTACAAGGATGCATACCAATATGTTTGTTTCTGTAAAAACCTTTGGTTGGTTTTCCAAAGCTTTATCCTAAAAAACATTCTGTGTGTTCTCCAGAGTCCAGCGTGTATCTGTTGGGTCCAGATGTCTTCACACTTCAGAAGAACTCTGGAGCCAACATCAGCCTTACTTCCAGGTGAGGACAGTCAGCCTGCAGCCTCTGCTCCAGGCACTGTAGTGATGGACAGAGGGACTGGACTCCTTTGTTCCCTTAACAGTCTGCTAAGGGCATGAACTGTAAATGCATGAGCATGTTCAGTGGCACCGGCTGCCTGAGTTTCAGATACAAACAACCTTTGACTTCCCTCATATTCTTCAACAGATTGACCATGACGGGCTACATTTATAGCAGGATACACTCATAGCAGGCTACATTCTTTGCATGCTAGATCCATAGTGGGATAAACCCATAGGGGGCAACACCAAGTGGGGTAAAAAAGTATTTAGTCAGCCACCAATTGTGCAAGTTCTCCCACTTAAAAAGATGAGAGGCCTGTAATTTTCATCCTAGGTACACTTCAACTATGAGAGACAGAATGGGGGGAAAGAATCCAGGAAATCACATTGTAGGAATTTAATAAATTAATTGGTAAATTCCTCGGTAAAATAAGTATTTGGTCACCTACAAACAAACAAGATTTCTGGCTCTCACAGACCTGTAACTTCTTCTTTAAGAGCCTCCTCTGTCCTCCACTTGTTAACTGTATTAATGGCACCTGTTTGAACTCGTTATCAGTATAAAAGACACCTGTCCACAACCTCAAACAGTCACACTCCAAACTCCACTATGGCCAAGACCAAAGAGCTGTCCAAGGACACCAGAAACAAAATTGTAGACCTGCACCAGGCTGGGAAGACTGAATCTGCAATAGGTAAGCAGCTTGGTGTGAAGAAATCAACTGTGGGAGCAATTATTAGAAAATGGAAGACATACAAGACCACTGATAATCTCCCTCGATCTGGGGCTCCACGCAAGATCTCACCCCGTGGGGTCAAAATGATCACAAGAACGGTGAGCAAAAATCCCAGAACCACACGGGGGGACCTAGTCAATGACCTGCAGAGAGCTGGGACCAAAGTAACAAAGGCTACCATCAGTAACACACTATGCCGCCAGGGACTCAAATCCTGCAGTGCCAGACGTGTCCCCCTGCTTAAGCCAGTACATGTCCAGGCCCGTCTGAAGTTTGCTAGAGAGCATTTAGATGATCCAGAAGAGGATTGGGAGAATGTCATATGGTCAGATGAAACCAAAATAGAACTTTTTGGTAAAAACTCAACGAGACGTGTTTGGAGGAGAAAGAATGCTGAGTTGCATCCAAAGAACACCATACCTACTGTGAAACATGGGGGTGGAAACATCATGCTTTGGGGCTGTCTTTCTGCAAAGGGACCAGGACGACTGATCCGTGTAAAGGAAAGAATGAATGGGGCCATGTATCGTGAGATTTTGAGTGACAACCTCCTTCCATCAGTAAGGGCATTGAAGATGAAACGTGGCTGGGAATTTCAGCATGACAATGATCCCAAACACACCGCCCGGGCAACGAAGGAGTGGCTTCGTAAGAAGCATTTCAAGGTCCTGGAGTGGCCTAGCCAGTCTCCAGATCTCAACCCCATAGAAAAGGTTTGGAGGGAGTTGAAAGTCTGTGTTGCCCAGCGACAGCCCCAAAACATCACTGCTCTAGAGGAGATCTGCATGGAGGAATGGGCCAAAATACCAGCAACAGTGTGTGAAAACCTTGTGAAGACTTACAGAAAACGTTTGACCTCTGTCATTGCAAACAAAGGGTATATAACAAAGTATTGAGATGAACTTTTGTTATTGACCAAATACTTATTTTCCACCATAATTTGCAAATAAATTCTTTAAAAATCAGACAATGTGATTTTCTGGATTTTTTTTTTTTCCCTCATTCTGTCTCTCGTAGTTGAGGTATACCTAGGATGAAAATTACAGGCCTCTCATCTTTTTAAGTGGGAGAACTTGCACAATTGGTGGCTGACTAAGTGGTGCCCCACTGTACATGTTTGTCTACAACCATAGCTAACTACATTCATAGTGGTCTACACCTATAGCGGGCTACAACCACAGCGGGCTACAACCATAGCGGGCTACACCCTAGCTAGCTGCATTTATAGTGGGCTGCACCCATAGCTAGTTACACCCATAGCGCCGGGATCCATTCTACACAGTTTTCTGCTTTAGTTAGTATATTTTTGATGTTGCTCTTCTCTGATCTGTTTTAGACTGTGGACGAGCTGTGTGTTCTTGAATGAGTAAGACCTCTGACCTCTCTCTCTGTGACTGAGACACAGTCAGCTTTTTCTTCAAGTTTCTTAGACCACAGCTGCTCATGTTCAGCTTTTGTCTCCTGGCAAAGGTGTGGACTTGAAACAGTTAAAAAAGAAACTGTGCTCCGCTATTTAAATGTAAATCCAGATCCTGTAACTATAGGTCATATCTTAGTGCTTCTTTAACTTTTAAAGCAGCTTTTTGCCTAACTGTATTCTTGTCTTTCTCTAGTTCCCCAGTGAACCAGACTGCTGTGATTCACTTCAACATCTCCTTCAGCTCCAAGCCCGACTACACATCTGTGATCACACTGCCTGAGCAGGTAACACATGACACCAAATACAGGGAGAAACACAGTCCTCATCCTCCAAACTGTGAACTTTGACCCAAGATAATAAAAGAGACGTTTGCTTGACTGGACTCACAGAGAAGACATGCTGTTGTCTCTGTTTAGGTGTTGCTGCCAGAGAAAGAAACCTCAGTGATTTTCTTTGTGACGGCCCACGATGTTGGTCAGGTGACCTCATACCTGCTTACCAACAACACAGAGCTCAAGAGGTGGGTGTCTGCATAACATCAGAATAAATCAGAACACTTGATTTTCCCTTGGAGAAATGTTGTTTTGTAACATCACAATCTGTCCCTTACACAAAGAATAACATGCTGCACCATCACTGACTGTAAGCCTTATTCTCTCTCCTCTAGTTCTATCAGGATCCACTTCCTGGTTGTCCATAGCAACATCCTGTCAATAATCTCTCAGGTGATTGGCTGGATTTACTTTGTAGCCTGGTCCGTGTCCTTCTATCCACAAGCCTGGGAAAACTTCCGGAGAAAAAGGTAGAGTTCTGTCTGGCCTCTTTCTCTGAGAATATATTTAACTTTTCAGAATTGTGTGTAGTGTATACCCTCCCTTTGCTTTGGTAAGTGATGCGTTGATGATGTCCAAAGCTACATAGTGAGCCGTCTTGCTTTATCTCAACTTTCTGGACAGTTTGAGCACTGGCAAGAAGAGGGTAGTAGGTAAAGACAAAGGTTAGATGAATAAGGTGGGATATCAGGTGGGATAAGTATAGGTCGTTGGAATTCGGAAGAGTCGATTTCTGACCCACCTACCCGGGCAATTTCTTTTACATTTTGAGCCCTGCGTGATCTGTGGGATTCAAAAACTGAATTAGTGGACAATTCCAAATTTGACACCAATTGAAAAAATAACCAGAGTCAATTAGTACCATAGACTGTATATATAAGATTAGTACCCTTACATGAAATGATTTCCCTTCAAATGCCAAGATAGTGTAACTTAAAAACCAGCAGGTAACTGTGAAGGTAAACTTCTGTTGTTGCAATGTTGAGGTAGAATGAAGGAGTCTGGAACCGTCGTTAGCCAAAGCACTGAGAGTTTTATTGATCACAGTACATTAATTACATACGGCCGGGAGATCATCTTGGTTTCACACTGTCCTGTGCTCCACCAAGATAATCTCTGAACCAAAGCCACAAAACATCGCTGCTACACGAGGAGAGGCCGGCCCACAGAAAGCCCGCGTTTACCTAATCAATAGCCGATGGGAGACAATGAACTACTTGTCTCAAGGAAACGCAGACAAGCCTGAAACCTTCCCCCACAGGATATGGGAGAAGCGTTTGACCTGTGACCTCAACTTACAGAGGAGTTTTTGACTGATACCATAAACACATGTTTGCAGTATCACAGAATCTAAGAAACTCTATAAACAGATCAGATTAAAATATTCTCTTACAGATTCACTCTTTTTATCAATCTATTGATAACCAATTAACATTAGTCTAAGAATATTTCAGTCAATACTTAAAATCAATAGGCGTCTTCAGAGTTGGGTGGGCTCAGATACATTCATTACATTAAAAAGTAGAACAAGATTGAAAACATTTCAATCACCATGATTGAACACAGTCAATCATAATACAAAATCATCTCTCTTCAGTGCTTGGCATCTTTTGTCAAAAGGCACAATAATAAACACATGGGATACAAAATATTATAGCAAAATATATGTTTCAAAAATAAGATCTTTTATCATTTATCACTCAGTTAATCTCATTCATCAAACACAAATTCTAAATCAGCTTACATCTCAAAGATTTACTTTAAGTTAATTACTTATTAAAAAACACAATTAGAATTTAGGATTATAAGAAATCAATTGAGGTATAATTTAGGATTATGAGAAATCCAATTGAGGTATAAATCAGAATCATGAGAGATCCAGCTAAGGTTAGTTTAAGGTATACATTCACAGTGATGAATCGATCAATCTGTAATCTGTAAAGTTACAGTGTCCTCAATCTTTAACATTACTTTACGTTTACTTCATTACGCTTTATTCAAGAGTAAGGCACTTAGTAATACATTTATTTCATTCAAATACATTTGTTCAAAATCTGAAAAGGAAAATCAGACATTTTATTTGTATAACAACCTGAAAAGGAAAAAATCAGACATTTGTCCTTTAATCCAGTGTATCAACTGTAATCAATTATCAAAACATCTGTTCTTTATTCAGAATATCAACTTTAAACAACATCTCAATCGCTGAATGGAGGTACCCACGGGTCGGAGATCACGATGGAGACCCAGGGGTCCGGAAGCTCGGCATTGTACATTAATATTGTGTCCTGTACAGTTGAATGTCCAACTAGCCTTTGTGGGGCCTGGAGGGCAGTCTTGGCAACCCTTCGTATGGCTAATTTAACCACAGTGATCAAACAGATCACTAGGATTAGCACAACCAAGATAAACACTGAAACAGTAACAACAAATTTAACCAGCCCCGCTCCCCAAGATCCAAAAGTTCCACTTAATTCCCCAAATGTAAACCCATGAGTTTCATGCAATTATTTTATTCCCCTGGCAGTATCATGAGCCATGTCCATAACTTCAGGTATAACATCAGATATGAAAGAACAACACTCACTTCCTATCACCTTGCATGTTCCTCCTTGGGCAGCTAAGAGGAGGTCAAGCGCCATACGATTCTGTAGTGCTACTGTCCTAACTTCCTGCAATTCTTTGTGTTCAGCTAACATCGCTGTGTTGGATACATTTAGATGATGTTCTACAACTTTAGACAATGCGACAATTTCCTGCTGAGTGACATAAATACCGTACCAAGGCAAGAATAGGCTAGCTATCTGTTGTCCTTGTGTAATTGACCTGCTGTTCCTGTGTAGAGAGGGAAGTATTGCTGCAATCTCAGTAGCCTCTACTTTACGGATTAAAGGGATTAGGTAGGCTAGATAACAGGTACCATAAAAAACATCATATGGCACACAGCCACAGGCCCGGTCCCCACAAACTAAGTAAACTCTCTGTGGGAGGGGAATTCTGGCCAAATTTACTCTCACTATGGCGTTACAGTCGCTGTTTCCCACATCAGGAGAGGTGTGAGATCCTACTGCATTCTGGAAACAGATGGACACATTCTTCCATTCATGCACAACAATTGGGGGAACATATACTGAGCAGTCACGTGTAGGGGGCTTGCCTAAGGGTATTGGCTGCGTACAGTCATGTATTTTAACCTCAACGGAGTCCACTGTTCTAGAGCCAAACCAGGGCACCACTGTTACCAAAGCTTCAACTAACAAAGCGGGTGTGTGTGGTTGCATTGTACATGTTGGACTTGTAAAGTTAGCTGAACAATTAGTCTGAGCTAGAGCTAACTGGAATCTATATTCAAAAGCTAGGTTAACGTATTTCTTCATATATATTAGTTTTAAAAACATCAAACGTTTGAAACCGTCAGGCAGGTAATCTTTATTTACTGTATCAACAATGAGAGAGACTAAGCCCTTGTACTGTAAAGGTTTTTCAGAGTCTATGGGGTAGGAAGGAGTGTAACAATCCTCAGCCTCATCGCTAATTCTAGATGCTATGTCATTCCAGTTTACTAAACCGTAATCAGCTTTTGTGAAAGGAATTGGGCTAAACATAGGAGAATGCATTGATTCTGGCATATTTTGGCACAACCAACAGTTGCTAACATTACGTTCATGTGCGTAGTCTAACATTAAACTTACTGCAGAATTAGTTTTAGTTTGTTTAAAAGGAGTAATTAAGGCCTTTTTTGAAGAATCTACCTCGCCTCCTGATTGTTTAAGTGGAGTAGATGGAACATTTGTTTTGCTATTTGGTCCAGTAACTGTGCATGCAGTATCACCTAGATTGGGAACGCGGTAATCTGGCTTCCGCACTGTACATTTTACCTCCTTCCTTATCAGTGCCTCGAACTGTTCTACCGTGCTACACCACAGTTCTGGGGGCATTTCTTCGATGGTGTTAAGAGCCATCCTTACCCCCTCTGGTGCGAACCTGAACCAAGCGTACTGGCTTTTTGGATATATCTCCCATGTTGGGTAAACTGAGGACACAGGAAACACAATAATACAGTTAGATGAGTCACATATTGAACTTGGGCAGTTAAAGGCAATAGTCTCTGACTTATGATCAGGGAGGGAGACAATCCTCCTTATTCTCCCTCCTTTTCTCTCTCTTTGTGTCTCTTGCACCATACTGAATGTCTGTGTGGTGTTTGGATACAACCTGTCCTTGTCGCTAGGCACTTCTTTGCCCGTTGGTGTTGTTTTGCCCTCAGGGTCTGGACCCTGAGTGGTCAAGTCGTCTGCGCTCTTAGATAAGAGCACCTTATTTTCTCCCTCAGACGGGCGAGGTCCCTCGCCACCTGTCGTTGGGATTTTCACAGCTTCATCTAGCAGGGCGTTCTTGGCCAGGTACAGTAAACCCAGAATGACGATGATGATGACTGCCTTCACACGCCAGCATCCGGTAGAGGAGAGAGACGACATCTTGAAGCGTGAATCCACTCCGCTCTACCTTGTACTCTCAGGGCTGTTCTGGTCACTATTAATACCTGGAAAGGACCTTTATACCTGGGAGACAAAGAATCTTTTTCAAGCGATTTGATTAGTACATTATCACCAATCTGAAAAGGGTGGGTGGGCTCCTCACCAGGCTGGGGGAGCCTGTCAGCCACCTGCCTGTGAAACTTTCTCAACATGTCAGTTAGATATTTGACATAGTTAGTCATGTAATCCTCTGTCCACAAAAGAGTGAGTCTGTGGGGCATTACTGGAGGACTAGATCCTGTGAACATTGGCCTTCCCATCAATACTTCGTGTGGGCTGAGCCCTGTCGTTGCATTTGGTGAGTTTCTGATTGAGCACAGAACTAGCGGCAGCGCGTCTACCCATTTTAGTCCTGTGGTCAACATTGTTTTAGTGAGTTTTTCCTTTATAGTCAAGTTCATTCTCTCAACCTGACCTGAGCTCTGTGGATGATAGGGAACATGCAATTGCCATTTGAACCCTAACACTGTAGCTAGACTCTGGGTTATCTTAGAAATGAATGCTGGACCTCTGTCACTGTTAATCCCTGCTGGAACACCAAATCTAGGGACAACATCTTTGAGAAGACACTTTACAACTGTTCTGGCGTCTTCTTTTCTGGTAGGGTAGGCCTCTACCCATTTGGAGAACTGGCACACTATTACCAAAAGATATTTGAATCCTCGGCATGGTGGCATGTGCGAAAAGTCAATTTGCATATTTACAAAGGGCCCCGAGGGGGGCGGTAAATGTTCATGCTGAACTGGACCTTTTCTTCTTCTTGTCTGCTGGCATATCATGCATCTATCTACAAGGGTCTGTGTAGCTAGTGTGATGCCTGGAGCAAACCATTGTGACTTTATAATCCCATTCATCCCTCCTTTTCCTACATGTGATTTTTCATGTGCAACATGTGCCAAAACATGGAGGAATGAACGGGGACAGACCATCCG